GCGAGAGAGAGAGAGAGCGCGAGAGAGCACATACCAGCTTCATCACTGTGTCTGTCACTCGACTCTGTTCCTCTTTCGGGCTTGAACTGATGGTAAAACTAACGACATTATTAATATCTTGATATTTACTTTGAGAGCTGACGCTCGCGATTATGGTAAGGGGCGTTGCATTTCCGACGCGTGCTTGTGGTGTTTGGCCAATCACAATGCATTGGGTCAGCTGGCCAATCAGAGCAGGCTGCGCTTGTCGGAAGGAGGGACTTTGTAGAAAACGAAGCATTTGAGAGAGGCGTGGCATAGAGGACCTACAATAATGTACAGTATTTGAAAAATAATGTGTTTTTTGAACATTAAAGCATGTCAACATATTCTGTTACACCAAATACACAAAATAATGATCTTTAAAAAAGGTATTAAATTTACCCCTTTAAAAGGTATTAAATTTAACTCCATGGTTCCTGTATATACCCTGCAACTTTAAGATGGCCCTTGACAGTTCAAAGTAGGATTATCTTTTCACTCATCATTCAGTTTGTTTAGATTTCGTTTTTTTTTTTTAAATCATGTTACGTCAAGCTAATTTGTATATCCGATCTTCCATCACAAGCCCTAATCCTGGAGGAGATTGCCATTGATTGCCATAACAAAGAAACCGAGGAACGCCTCCTGCAGGAGGCCCATGATCTGCACCTCTCTTCCCTGCAGTTGGCCAAAAAAGCTTTCGGAGAGTTCAACGTTCAGACGGCAAAACACTATGGGAACCTGGGCCGCCTCTACCAATCCATGCGCAAATTTAAGGTCCTTATTAATTCTTATTTAAACCTGTGAGAATGTACAGGTGTTATAAGATAAGTAAATCATCACAAGTGGATCATTGTGCAAGCTGTGTGTTTTTGGTTTTTCTTGTGTAAGCTAAACTCAACATAGAGTGCTTTTGAGGTTGCTGTTGGGCTGACTGACTTTTCCATTGTGTGATTTGTAACGCAGGAGGCAGAGGAGATGCACATCAAGGCCATTCAGATCAAGGAGCAGCTGTTAGGACAGGAGGACTATGAGGTGGCTCTGTCAGTGGGACACTTGGCCTCGCTCTACAACTATGACATGAATCAGTATGATGATGCAGAGCGCCTGTACTTGCGTTCCATCGCTATTGGTGAGGGTTACTTTTGTTGCTAATGCATTTTGGATGTTTTGGATGTTGAATGCAGTACCATTAGTTATTGACCTTTTTTTCCGTCTTTTTTTAAATTATTAATTTTATTTTTATTTATTATTAAAAATTATTATAATTTAATATTGGATATACATGTTGGACAAAATTGGATATTAAATTGTAATGCTCATTTACATTGTTTTTACATTTCATTTACCTTTGCTGTCATCAAATGCTTAAATAGTTTTTTTGAAAAGATTAACAGTTTATTTTTTACATTTTTAATTCTTGATTTTAATTCATTTTTTATTTAAATGCTGTTTATTGTTAAAAGCAAATCTGAAAAAAAAAACATCAATATCCATTTTTATATTTTGTACATTATGCTGTAATGCCTAAATTCACTTGTAACATTTAAAATGAATAATTTTTGTTTTTAGTGTTTTATTTTTAGTCTGTTTAGATAGTAGTGAATTTATCAGTAATGAAACATGAAAATAATTATTTATCTGTATCGGCCACAATTTCAAAATCTTGCATCCCTAATTGTGGGTAATTTATAGCACTGTTAAAATTATTTTATGCTTAAAAAGGCAGCATTTATTTGTTCAGAGATATAGTAAAAACAGTAATATTGAGATATCTTACTACAATCTTAAAATAACTGTTTTCTATGTTAATATATTTTAAAATGTAATTTTTTTTCCTGTGATGGCAAAGCTGAATTTTCAGCATCATTACTCCAGTCTTCAGTGTCACATGATCCTTCAGAAATCATTCCAATATGCTGATTTGGTGCTCAGGAAACATTTCTAATTAATATCAATAGTGAAAACAGTTAATATATTTGTGTAAACGGTAATACATTTTTACTGACTCCAAACTTTTGAGCTAAATACCTAAACATAAACCATATGTCTGTTGTTTCCTTCAGGCAAGAAACTGTTCGGGGAGGGCTACAGTGGATTGGAATATGACTACAGAGGCCTGATAAAACTGTACAACTCAGTTGGAAACTACGAGAAGGTCTTTGAGTACCACAATATTCTGTCCAACTGGAACCGTTTAAGGGACAGGCAGTTTGCAGTAGCCGATGCGCTGGAGGACGTCAACACGAGTCCCCAGGCCACAGAGCAGGTGGTGCAGTCTTTCCTGCTTTCCCAGAGCCACGGAGCTGGACGCCCCTGCTTGGGCTAACAGCCAGGAAGCCCACCAGAAACATAGATGTGCACTCCCACCCCCATTTTGCACCCTCACATCCATTTATTCATTTAAGTAGTCGGGACAGGCGGGGAGTGTGATTTATTATCTTGAGCTTGAGCTCAAGGACTGTCAATTCACTTGTACCAGCAACTCCCCAAGCCCGCTTCCTTAAAATGGGAGAAAAACAATAGCATCTGTGCTACCATGTTATGACTCATGATGGATAAGCAACCGTTCATTGAATTTGTTCACTCTCCTTTGAAGAACCCGACCATTTCTCTGACTTCAAGAGGAGTTGAATAAAACAAAGCAGAACAGTCCGACAAAGACGGAAAACTTCCACGCCCTCTATTCTTTTTTTGATTTTATTTTGTATTTGAAGGAGAGTTGCTCCACACTACAGGAATACTTTGTTTATCACTGCATTGTCTAAATGTGGAGGAAACTGCTCAACGCAGCTCCCACAGAACGAGATTCGACGAGAAAAGGCCCATCATTCATAAAGCGAGTGAAGGAACATCCATAGACGTCCGTGTCCCCATTAACACCAGGATTAGAGCTTGACTTCATGTAATGCAAAGCTTTGCATTTGAGGATTACCTGTGTGCTCTCTGGAAAATGAGACCAGCCATGTTACATTATGGACCATTGTTTATTTTTGCTTCTTTTTTTATTAATAATTCATGTCGCGTGTGGAATTTACGGACCAGTGGGTTTACGATTGCTCTAGATACCTTGTTTTAAGTTCTTTTCTGGTTTTGTATTCCCTTAGTACTGACATAGCTTATTTTAAACTGCCAATAATTTATATGCAAGGTATGCTACAACTTGTAGGTGTAACGTTGCAAACGGATGAGCCAAAATGACTTCTGTTCATTATAATAATACGTGTGCGACCACAGCTAATTGCCATAATATGAACTAAACAGAGTTGGAGGATGAGTTCACAAAGCCGGCTTTCTGTCATAGCGGAGCCTTATTCATGCGCACACACACACACACGATATAAGCTGAAGCGGTGATAGTTACAGGACCAAGTTTCCCAGGTCGTTGTTGTTTTCCTTTCAGAGCTCGGCCCCGGGTGGCGTAGATTAACACCCCTGGCCCACTGCCAACTGACTGGACACACAGAAAAAAGGGCTGAGCGCATCACCTGTCATGAAGAGGCTTCCCTGCTGGGGAACCTACGGTATAGTGCACAGGGGTGTGAATCCACGCACGATTGTGTAGTAGCAGTGCAATATTTGCTGAGCGCACCTGTACCACTCCAAAACCAATCCGTCTGACTCATTTCACTGCCGCTCCTCTCTCGGATATATCCAAAAGCCACACAGAATCGCAACCAGGTTGACAACATTTCCAGAACATTTCACAAGTTGAATGAGGACCGTTCAGATTAAATTGGCATCCTTTTGTCACACTTTCATAAAGAACTCATTGTTTTTTGCTGAAACAAAGCCTTGCTGCAGGCTAGTCATGTAGAATGTGCTTTTAGTGTCTCGCCACATTTTAGCCCCCATCAGGCAGCACCGGGACCCCAGATCGAGCTGAAGTCCCAGCCTTAGTCTTAAAGGACTCTCAGCTGGCGGGGATCTGCTTTGTCAGCTTTTTTTGAGTAGCTCTTAGAACGAAACCTCCACTTGCAGTTTTTCAAACACCTTTAGTCCCGTAAACCGAGCAAGAGATCATCTAGGGCATGTGAGGGACTTTATTTAGCCCATTTTCACTCCTTAAATCCCTTTATTGTTACGTTTGAAGTCTGATTGTGAAGAACCAGGTGGTCTTAAAAGGATAGTCCACCTCAAAATGAAAATTCTGTTGTAATTTTCTCACCCTCATGTCATTCCAAACCTGTATGCTTTTCTTTCTTCTGTGGGACATAAAGGAAGATATTTTGAAGAATGTTGGTAACCAAACAGTTTCGATTTCCATTGACATTCATTGTATGGACAAAAAATACAATGGAAGTCAATGGGAACTGAAAATATCTTCTTCAAAGTATTTTCTTTTATGTTTCACAGAAGAACGAAAGTCATACAAGTTTTGGAAAAACGTGAGTGTGAGTAAATGATGATAGAATATTCATTTTCGGGTGGACTATTCCTTTAATACTTTATTTGAGGCAGCAAGTGAAGGACAGGAATTAGTCTTGGTTAGAGAGAAGGAATATTGTAACAAATAAACTGTGATCTTGCACGCTTTGTTAGTGCATTTCCATTGACTATGTGCTGTAATGGACTGAATTAGTGGAGTTCTCGTATCAGATGATGAGTTTAGGAATATGAACATCAAATGTAAAAAAATAATGTACATGGGAAACAAGCTTGGTGGATGCTGAATGAATTTATAACGTAGCTCTGATTGCTTGCTTGCTTCTGAATGTCGATTCAAGGGCTTATTTGTCAACCTCAAGTGGTATTTCCTGATTAGAAAGATGGTTGATCACTGTTGATCAAATCCAAACTGCTTCTCGATCTGAATTGGCCACAGTTCCCCAAAAATCAAAGGTGCTTCTGGATCAAACGTTCTCTTTGTTTGCATGTTTAAGTAAATGTATATAGATGTAGATGCATTGCTACAAGTGGTTATTGTCCCAGTGAGCTCCATAGTGACAGAAAAAACAATCTTATACTGAGCAGTTAATAAATATCCCATGAAATAAGAGAACAAAGAATGAACTTTGCGACTCTGAATTGTTAAACTGATCACAGAAATTAATAAACTGCATCCTCTGACAATAAAAGCAATCCTGTCATTACAACTTTTCTTCAAAATCTGCCCTCAGAGAGTTGGAGAATGTAATGAAGGGTTGATAACTGATACAGTGGGGCCTTTTAGATGCTAATTATCTTTATGAAGTCCTCAGACATGCTGCCACGTGTAGATTGTGATTTAGCCAAAGTGCTGTTTCAGATGGATGATGGTGATCCTTGAAGTAACAACCTACAAGTGGACGTGATCTCTTATGATTTTCTTTTCTTGTCTATATTCATTGGAGACACTTTAGAAGAGTTTTTGATCCAATCCAATGACAAAGAAGAGGACAATTGTGTTATTTAACATCGATACTGACTGTTACCCTGGAAATGTCAGTAACCTGTGCCACAGTGAGCCTCTGCTTGGATACTCTTCAGTCATTGGCTTTATGTAACTCACCCTCAGTAGAGTCTGCTGTACATTGTACATCTGTAACCACCAAACCATTATTAAACTCATTTGTATCCAGCATTGTGAAAATCTGTAACTACTTCTAACACAAAAAAACAATATAGAGCTGTCTAATAGACTACAATGAGCAATATTGCTTCTGAAGTATTAAAGTTGCTTTATTTTTTGCCTTTACATGATTATTCTCCACCTGTTCCTGAAGTCGTTGTGATATGTTTAGAGTCCATGACTTGAATGAATGCGACGGGATCCTGCAAAAACCACTCTTTTGGGTGGATTGGTGGCTGAACAAACAATTGAGAATAAAAGACTGTACTCAGCACGTGTACGTCTGGAAGAGATTTACTGTATCTGTCCTTGAACATGGCTACTTAAAGTTTTTATGAGAACTATTATTAATCTAATCAATTATACACTACTGTTCGATTTTTTTTTTGTAATACTTTTATTCAGCAAGGATGCATTAAATTGATCAAAAGTGAGAGTAAAGACATTTATAATCTTACAAAAGAATTATATTTCAAATAAATGCTCGTTAATAATTTAAAATGGCAAACCTTTTATTTGCACAGCCATTGATTATTTTTACATTTATGTATTTGCCAGATGAATACATTGCATTCAAGGCACATTTTATCAGTTCATGCATTTCCTGAGAATCAGACTCATAGTGCCATATGTTACTGTTTGAACTGTAGAAACAATAGTCCCAAACAATAAATACAAAATAAATACATGAAGTGCAATTTTTGCATCAAGAAAATCTCAAAAACAATGTAAGCTTATATATATATATACAGGTGCATCTCAATAAATTAGAATGTCGTGGAAAAGTTCATTTCAGTAATTCAACTCAAATTGTGAAACTCGTGTATTAAATAAATTCAATACACACAGACTGAAGTAGTTTAAGTCTTTGGTTCTTTTAATTGTGATGATTTTGGCTCACATTTAACAAAAACCCACCAATTCACTCTCAACAAATTAGAATACTTCATAAGACCAATAAAAAAAACATTTTTAGTGAATTGTTGGCCTTCTGGAAAGTATGTTCATTTACTGTACATGTACTCAATACATGGTAGGGGCTCCTTTTGCTTTAATTACTGCATCAATACGGCGTGGCATGGAGGTGATCAGTTTCTGGCTCTGCTGAGGTGGAAGCCCAGGTTTCTTTGACAGTGACCTTCAGCTCATCTGCATTTTTTGGTCTCTTGTTTCTCATTTTCCTCTTGACAATACCATAGATTCTCTATGGGGTTCAGGTCTGGTGAGTTTGCTGGCCAGTCAAGCACACCAACACCATGGTCATTTAACCAACTTTTGGTGCTTTTGGCAGTGTGGGCAGGTGCCAAATCCTGCTGGAAAATAAAATCAGCATCATGCCATGCCGAATTGAGGCAGTAATTAAAGCAGAAGGAGACCCTACCAAGTTATTGAGTACATGTACAGTAAATGAACATACTTTCCAGAAGGCCAACAATTCACTAAAAATGTTTTTTTTATTGGTCTTATGAAGTATTCTAATTTGTTGTGAATTGGTGGGTTTTTGTTAAATGTGAGCCAAAATCATCACAATTAAAAGAACCAAAGACTTAAACTACTTCAGTCTGTGCATCGAATTTATTTAATACACGAGTTTCAAAATTTGAGTTGAATTACTGAAATAAATGAACTTTTCCACGACATTCTAATTTATTGAGATGCACCTGTATATAAGCTACATACATCTATAAGGTTTTCAAGAGAATAACATTACTCCCTGGTAAACTGGTTTATCTTTTCCATAAGTTACATTCAACAAACAAAAAAACAATGGTTTTTTTTAGATGCTTATTAGACCAGAAGTGTCATAAAATACAAATTTCAATCTTAAACCCTTACAACATCCTAAATGACCCTTTAGAGATCCCTAGTACTTCTTTTCTTCCTCTTCATCCACTAAGAATCTCAAATGGGTTATAATGCACCACATCTGCAAAATGACACAAACAGTAGTATTTACAGATAAATGCCTTTATTATGACAGTAGTAATGCTGGGTAAACATGCTCCTCACCTCAACTGCAAAGCCCAGCAAGCGTCCTGCTGCCAGCACCAGAATCCCCAGAATCTGTAGCCAGTTTGAGGCATAGAGAGTCTGCGACAGCACCTCATGCTGGTAGCCATACAGCCACACGGGTAAAACATGGAGCCCTGCTATTGTCAGAATGCCCAAAGGAGTCTTAAAGCCTGCATGAAGAATAACAGCATTCATCAGGGATTTTCACAATTAAAAGGGTTAACTCTGGGTCATTCTAAACCCCAGGTAAATGGAATCCTGGGTAATATTGCTTTACTTTTCACATATCAAATTTTTCCTGAGTGAACTTTTTGGCCTATAAAAGTAAAAATCAAAAAGTCTCTTTTTCACCAATGCTTTTTCAGTCACCATTTCTACTGTTTTTTTTTACTGTTTATAAACAGTGTTTCCCACTGTACAAGTTTGGCACCGTAATGCGGGTTATGCAGGGTTTCATTACCCCGGGTAAAAAGCGGTGCTAACCCCCCTTTTAAAGGGGTTAAAAGTGGGGTTTAGAATGTTAAGTGCAATGTGAAAAGCCATACTTCTGTGCTTTTAAACATTTTACGGTTTAAAAAGAAACAAAATTACTTGTCATACCTTTTGCCATCACTGCCCGCACCCAACCCGGGCTCTCCGTGAAAGAGTTCTTCCATTGGGCACCTCTGGCATTATGGTTGCACACAAATACACACCACTCCACTGAAGACACCAGCCAGCCCCACTTCACAAGCACAGAGATCAAAGTCATTCAAACTAATACAAACATGTTTGGGACAAACAAATACAAACCTCTACTGATTGAACTTACATCATAAAGCATGTTCCAGAGCATGCCACGTCCTAGGTTGTCGATGACCACATCCAGCCACGCTCCGAACCTGGAGGTCTGCTGCAGGCGACGTGCCGCCCAGCCATCCACCCCTGGCACGAAGATAAAATACTAAATCAATAAATGTAAATATGAAAATTCTTGAAATACACTTTAATTAGTGAACAAGTAAAAAGTTTTGTTTGCCAAGGTTGTGTCCTGCAGTGACATATATTTGTCAAAGCAAGAACATTTGAGTAATAATAAAACCTTTTGTGCAATGGAAAGTTTCCATGGATGTTAAAGGTTCTTCATGGAAAAATATGCTAATAAAGAACCATTAAGAGTATGTATTTACAATTTCCCTAGCTTTCATGTATTTACCTACCATCCAATATAATTGATAACACATACAAGGGTACAAAACTTCCTGGGTCACTATACAGAATCCAGGCAATGAGAACAAGAAGAATCCGGATATAACCTATAAAAAGAAACATTTTGCATTACAAATAATACCATAATTAGAGTACATTTACTGATTAAATATAGGCTATGTCATAAATGTAGTTGGGGTGATCCAATATTTTTGATTCTTTAAAACGAATTCTGCTGCTGCAACAAATACACAGATGTCACGTAATAATTACTCTCACTCACCGATTACATTGGGTACATAGAAAAAGACATGAAATCCCATATCACAGGTGCTCTTCTCTGCTGCTCTGTCTATAGTAACCGTCTTCTGTGTCGGAAACAACACGTAGGCTATCTTATTTAAATGCCTTCGTATGCGCAATATCACCTAATCAAAATGTCATTATGATCATAAACATTTATATCACTGTAAAAGAGTCCATCTCTTCTCCATGAGTGACATTTATGGCAGAGCATATAAACAGGACTCTCTTCCGGCTTTATGACAAGTTTTATAAGCGTCATTCGTGTTGGAATAGACACTAGATGCCATAGGAGGGCGCTAAAAAATAAGAGTCTGAAAGATTGTATTAATCGGTGAGGCTGAATTAAGATTAATAAAAGGTTGGCGCCAAATACGTACGTGTACGGAAGGGTACATTTGCATGAAGTACTACTCAGAACTGATTTTGTGTAGATCATACATTCCTTAAAAATAAGAGACAAAACCAGTGTTGTTATTGATTGTTATTGATACCTATACTTTTTTAATAATTAAAATAAAGGTGAAATAAATAAGAATGTATATATATTATATTAGAAATGTTGCATTGGAAACTAACTTAAATGAAATTAGCTGAAGTACTAAAATGACTAAAACTGAAATAATTATAAATTAAAAAACATAAATAAACTAAAAACTGACAAAAGCACATAAAATTATAATAAAAAAGCGGAAAATATAGAAATATATTCAACATTAATAAATACTATAATAGTAGGCTATAGTAAAAATGAATAGTAAATGAATAGTAAATTATACTACAATAATGTTACGAAATTGTTTTATTGATTTTACTGCAAAAAAGTAAGATACATTTAAGCAATTTTTAAAACATGATAATTTACATGACTCAAAAATTTTAAAACTACTTAACAGCTCATTTGAATCATATTTTTCGTGGGTGATAAAATTAATAAGCAAAAATAATTCAGTCATAAAAAAAATAATTCAAAAATTAATAAAACATGTTCTGCCTCCACACAGTGCACCATGCCAGAAAAAAGCTATTAGTGTCCATCAGGAAAAGCTGTTTTTGGTTTATGAAAGTTTATTATTAACCATTTTATCCCCATATTATATACACTATGTGTTTGAAAAGTAAAGAAATGGCGTTGTTGCCCTGATGCAACACGGTGCAAAATGAGTAAACTACCTCCTCACAACCTCGCTAATATCAAAAAATCTAATAGCAACCATGGAAATTAAAGTCGACGGCACGACAGCCAAGCTCTGAGCGCAAATGCGTCGGTGCTGCGTTTCTGACGCTCATACGCCCCCTGTGTTCTGATTGGACAAAACTCACGTGATCAAGTATGGAGGCGTCGGCGTTTAGACGCGTCACTCGCTGATAACGCAAAACTCTACCGCTTGACTTGATAGGAACACCATACCGAGAAAAAAAAACAAAAACAAAAAACAACGGAAAACAAGACAACAGGCACCGGTCACTCTCTGCACATTTCTGCCATTGCCATGAAATGAGGGCACCATGGGCGCCAAGGAGTCACGGATAGGCTTCCTTTCGTATGACGAGGCCATTAAAAGAGGTAAGAGGTTAGAGCTTCAGCGATTAACGGCGGTCTGTCAGTTACGCGACAGTGCTAAGCTAGCGTTAGCCAGCTAGTTAAGCCCACGTATTAACTCTGTCTGCGAGCTAACAAGTCTCAACCTGTAATTTCGCAGAGCTGTTATGTGAAGTAGCGGGTGTGAAGGGGCTTGGGGGATGAAGGTGGGGCTGTTTTGACTTGTCTTTGTGTTATTAGTGAAATGTTGTTAGTGGCTCAGTCTCAAAACCTAGTTAGCTGTCTACTTAGATTTTTCTGCATCATATTTGAGTTCACAAGCAATCGAGATGCCCAAAATCGTCTGAGAGTGCACCTCACACTTGGTTTTGACACACAGCCAGTGTCTAACTAGCAGCCGACTGGAAGTGGAACTAATCTGGGCGGTGCAGGAGCGTCCACACTGACAAACAGATTTCACTAATCTGTCAACATTTCTCAACACCCCCGTGGTATTTATCATGTACCCTATTGTACTTTATCAGCTCTCTGCCTAAGAAAAGGGTGGAAGTGCTTGTCCTGACACACTGAAATCTTATTTTTGCGCTTGCTAGCTACTGACCAGTGTATTTCCACCCCTTTACCGTCGGTTATTATTATGACGGTTGGTGTTATTTAAGGGTATTTTTTCACTTTCAGAGGGAAGTGGATGTCCTTCAAGAATGATTAAGTTATTGAAGAATCATTTAGTACTTGAGATAAGTGTTTTTAATAAAGGCCTGTTGACAAGATAATGACAGCTCCTATCAGCTGTGAAGTGTGTACTTAACTGAGGATGTAAACAAATATTTAAAGGGATAGTTCACCCAAAATTTTAAATCCTGTCATCTTTTGCTCACCCTTATTTTATTCCAAACATGTTTGACTTTCTTCTGTGGAACATAAGAGAAGATATTTTGAGAAATGTCCAGTCAGTGGGTACCAAAATTGTCAACATTCTTTAAAATATCTTCTTTTATGTTTTGCAGAAGAATTAGAAAGCGCTTTATTGCCAATTGTGTTTACACACACAATGAATTCGTCTTGGTGACAGGAGCTTCTAGTGCGGAAAGTACAGACATAATGCAGACATACATATAATTTAAGGTAATAAAACATAACAGTAATAATTATGCATTTAATAATGGTGGGAAGCGAGGTTACATTTGAGAATATGTTATCGAATATAAATATTAAAGGGAACCCTGAAAGTGACGTGACATGTGGCCAAGTATGGTGTCCCATACTCTGAATTTGTGCTCTGCATTTAGCCCATCCAAGTGCACACACACTGCAGTGAGTAGTGAACACACAAACATACACACACACCTGGAGCAGTGGGCAGCCATTTTTGCTGTAATGCCCAGGGAGCAGTTGGGGGTTCGGTGCCTTGCTCAAGGGTCTCACCTCAGTCGTGGTATTAAGGGTGGACGAGAGCACTGGTCATTCACTCCCCCCACCGACAGTCCCTGCCGGTACCAAGACTCAATCCTATGACCTTTGGGTTACAAGTCCAACTCTCTAACCATTAGGCCATGACTGGTTTCACACAGGTTTCTGTGCGTTCATGATCCAATTTAGATTTCTGAAACTAAAATCTGGATGTCAGTGTAGTCTGATGCTGACAGGCCTTGATGCTGCCGTGTTTATGTGTGTCTAGTGATCGGGCTGTTTAGAGCAGATACTGGCACCTGAGATCAAGTGCGTCAGCACTTCTTTTTTCCCCCACACCTTGATGAATAAGCAGAATTATTTGCATCTATGTTTCTCTTACCAGGAAACCACAGGCCAGGATTTACATTCTGGCCAAACCTATTACAGCTACAGAGGAATTTCTTCATCTTGTTGACATAATTGCTCATATAATGTTTCACAACATAAATAGGGTGTCTTGTGAGTCACCTGAGAGTGTTGAAGTGTTGTGATTATTATCCTACAGCACTGTGTGTGTGTGTGTGTGTGTGTGTGTGTGTGTGCCTAACCCGTTAGTAGAGGTAGAATTACCCTAATTGTTCCAGCTGCACACACACTGTCATGGTACATTTATTGCAGTTTTTTGTGCCATGCTGCCCAACAGCCAATGTTGCTGACATCACTTCATCACAATAACGTAGTGTAAAGGAGGAATGGCATTCACGTCAGCATTTTATTGTTTGTTTTATTAATGGCTTGTTCTCGATCATGTAATAGTTTTCCTTAAATATATCGTTGTGTATTATAAATTATAATGAAATAATATCCATGGCTCCAATAAATTATATAAAATAATATATAATGTCTGTCAATGTGATGCATTAATTTTTAAGCAACATATTGGTATTTCTTAAGGCCCGTTCACACCAAGAACGATAACAATACTAGCAGCATCCACACCAGCGAACGATGTTGTCAGTTTATTCTAAGCTCACACTCGCCCGCCGCTTTAAATTATTGAGCTCGTTATAGCAGGATTGATTCTGATTGGGTTAATGTTTTTATCATTCATCAGCTGGAAAAAATTGTTCTGAAAGTGATTCCAATGATATAATTTCTCTGTGCCTTTATCGTTATAACTGTGGTGTGGACTCTGCTATTCTTTAATACTGAGAAATTTTTTTAGAACTATATCTTTATTGTTGTCTTTATAGTTATTGTCCTTGGTGTGAATAGGCCTTTAAAAATAGGGATGTTTTAAAAAAAATTATATCATACTTTCCTAATCCCTTTTTTCAAAATGGACCAACTAATGGGTTTTCTAAATAACTAGTCGACTTATCAATCTTAAGGAAGCGCTGTATATTGAGATTGGTTTTGGTGTCATCTGACCTTGATACTATGCATTTTTATTAGGTGTTTACATTAGACATTAGTTCTTGCATTTAAAAACAGCTTGACAGAACACAAAAAAAAGATAAATTGTCAGGGTCTTGAGATGCTTTGAAAATGTTTATTAATAGTGCATGTCACTAAAAATATCTGAACAAAAAAAAAAAGTCTAGAACAATTACCGTATTGGCCCGAATATAAGACGACCCTGATTATAAGACGACCCCCCTTTTTCCAGATGTACCTTTTTTGGAAAAAGGCTTTTTAAAAACCAAATCTTGTTTTTTCTCAGTAAAACACATTTTGTCTTCAATTATTTTCATATTGCATATTTTTCCTATTTTAATTTTTGAAAGTATGGTAAAAACTAGTAAAATGTACCAACAATCACATTTAAAAAATATACACTTTTTGATATACCATTAAAAAACCAACAACGGGCAGCCCATCTGAATTAGGACATTTAGGCTATCCATCTAATAGTAGCCTACCAAAATCTTATTAACAGTAGAAGTTCAATCTTACTGTAGTCTTCAAATCTGGGTACTGTCTTACGTTTTAAAATCACAAAGGGAGTTTGGTCCCATCAGGCTAACGTAACAGTCACGACTCATGCAGCTGTAAGGTTTTCTTCTTCTTTTGTTTTGTTCGCGATCTTTACAACATGCATTACATTACGTATTTCATGGCGCACTCGTTTTATGCGTATTTGGCGCCACCTATTGTTGTGGGTGTATTATTGACATGTCAAAGTCTAGACCCTGAATATAAGACGCGTTTTTTCAATTTGGCGCCACCTATTGTTGTGGGTGTATTATTGACATGTCAAAGTCTAGACCCTGAATATAAGACGACCGCGTTTTTTCAGATGTATTTCCAAGAAAAAAACATCGTCTTATATTCGGGTCAATACGGTAGTTGATCTCAATAATAGTAGGATTAGTTGACCATCCTGACCTGTCCCTAAATAGAATTTTTCATTAAATGTCTTAACATTGGATTAATGTTTGTAATTTGTAGCTGGAAATTGTATAGCCTTAGTTTGGCAGCTGTAAACTCATAAACACTTTTCCTGGAAAATGATTAGGGATGCACGATATTGGATTTTTGCTGATATACGATATGCCGATATTTTTCAACTCATTTTGGCTGATACCGATATATTTCCTTTTGTTTGGAAACAACACCAAGTCTCTCCTGTGCAGAAATTATAAGCAAAATATTTTTTAATTTTGGTTAGTTTTTAACAA